GGACGCGCGAAAGGCTCGCTTCTGATCGTCGCACTGGTAATTGATACAAAGGCTAATTAGTCCGAAGACCAACAGCACTATCGACGCACTGCGGCCGATGCCTGAAGCGTTCTGAACCATGTAGATCGACGAGCACCAGCAAAGAGCCGGCTGAAAGAACACCGAATTCCACAGATAGATGAATCCTACGTGTCGATACGTAATCTCTTGAGTACTCAGATAATTAGGTTCGAAAAAAAAGTACTTCGCAATGTACAGGAGCTGTAGCAGAACGCTGACCAGCATTGAATCGGGTACGTCTCCATACAGAACAAAGCGCTTCGACACGCACGACAACAGAACCAGTTGCCACATCAACATGTAGAAGCGGGAGCTGAAGATCTGCCGCAGTGAAAGCTCGTTCACTTCGGGGTTCTTGTGGGTTCCGCACAAGAAGTTCAGACAGCCCTTTGGGGCGCTGGTGGAGCTGGCAGCCGGCAGCACCAGGCAGCTGGCCGTCACGAACGAGATGATCAAGAAAACGAACAGCACGGCGAGGACATGATCGTAAAGCGAGTACATGTGGAACACGTGGACGCACGAAAGAAACAGGTAGAACAGCAGATTGGCAAAAAAGGCAAAAACGCCGCCGGACCTAAAGTCGTCTGGCCGCGTTTCGTGGGCGGGATCCTTCTTTGACCTGTGCTGGTTGACAGCAGGAAATGACCTCAGTACCGCGAGCTGCAGCGCAGCAAAGCTCAGGACAAATTTCCATGCAAAACTGTCTGTCAGCTGCTTGGCCAGCCATCGACTAGACCGGCCGACGACTTCCACCAAGCCTTGACTACTCGCATACTGCACGTATCCCGTGCATGACTCTCGCTGATGCAGCACGCACTGGTACAGGACAAGCAGGAAGAGGGTGGAGGAAGTGACGACCGCCGACAGCAGCAGGGCGTAGTTCTCCGCCGTCTTTTCGCTGCCACTGAACGACCGCAGCCCTGTCTGCTGGTGGCCCAAGTCCTGAAGACGGGGAACACTGATCCGGCGCGCTGCTGATCCGGTGCCACCGGGGCGCGGGTCCGTGCTCAGCTTCCGCATGTCCACCGACTGACCGATCGCAGGCGTGCTCGCAGAGTTTAGTAACAGCGACCTCCTCACTCTTCAGTATCGAACGACTGACGACGCCAGGATTCTCCTTCACTCCTTCCTCCTCCTCCTCACTTGTCGCAAGAACTTCTTCATCAATGCTGTGCCGCTGCTGCCGTTGCATCGACTACGCGGCTGGAATCGATCGATCTCTCAAATTTCGCTACCAACGGCGCAAATTAGCGCGAATCTGTCCACAACGCGGAAGAGGGCACGTCTGAGTCCAGAGGAAGGCGCGTAGCAGCGGAACTTCCGATTAATCGACCACTCGATGAACCGGTGCTTGTGTGTCTTTTTGGATGGTCATCGGTAACGCGGCTACGAAGTGTCGCGTAAAGACCTCGAAGAAGCGTCACATGAGTGATTTACGAATTCCCACCTGACTGGCTGCTCTCCTTCTTCTTCTTACGCTTCTGCTTGCTTGCCAATTCACCAAACGTAAGCAAGAGACTCGCCTTCGACCAACGTATGATCTCGTCCCTCGGCCGTCAACTTATACAAGCTTAACTTCTTCCCTCAATAAGTTCGAGTTTATTTGTGATTCACATTCCAGCACTGCTTCTTAAGCAATTTGAATCACAATGAGCGAAAAGTGCAATCATATCATTATTGATTCTCACTCACTTCAGCCAGTGTTTTTTGGCTGATCTCTGGCTAGATTAACTGGAGATAAAAACCCTTAAAGAACAGCTGAAAGTTTCGCAAATTATATGAATGGACAGGAAGTCGACGGTCAAATGCGGTTTATTACCGAGACCAAGGTGAACTAGGTTGTACCATTAGAGGATGCGCCTGTGAAGAGGTCATCACTGCTTAAATATGAGGCTCCCGTTTATCGAGAAGCGACTAACTCGAAAGGGTATTTACTATTTAC